AAATAATAAAGTTATGTCAATTTAAAAAATCATCCAGGGTCGAACCCGAGCGAAGTGAGGGTGAGTCGCTAGTCATAAGTAGGTAGATACCTATAGCTTATCTGAAGACTTAAATTGTATTATTTCGTAGAACATTTTTTACCTATAGATACATGGCTCGAAAAAGTTTGAATATCAAATGAAATAAAGAATTGGGGTCAGTGAAGTCAGGCTGAGCTTCGAATAATAGTACCTACGTATTTTCTTACGTAAATAAACATTAAATTAGTGGGATTATTTATTACTTGCAGCTTTAACATAATTTAATATATAAATAAATAAACATTGCGAAATAATGAGCATTACAATAGAGCCCATTTGTCGACTAAACACTTGCAGTGTAAAATGTTCAATATCATTCACACTGAAACGCGAATTTTCCTGCAATCGATCGCTGGGTGGACCGATCAGCGGATTGGTCGGGAGGCGTGGTGCTTGTTATCATTAGAGAGACGTCGTCCAATCGCATGGAGGCACTGATAAGAGGGTTTGGGGTTGGTTCGAGGGGTGGCATCAGTGCGCCGGACGCAGCGGCACAGGGCGGCCGTGGATCATGCTGGGTGCCATGATGTACCCCGGCGCGGAGGACGAGCTGGCCGACATGCGCGTACCGCCAATACAGCTCGAACACCTGCCTGAAGTGTTTCTATGTACGTACATCATGTGTTGTGTCTGTGCGTTTTAGTGGTTTCGTGCTCACTGTTTAGGGGTTGTTAGTTTTGAATTTATTGTTACAAAACATATGGGTGCATAGATTGAAGGAAAAATTTGCCTAAAATTTTACGGAGTTCATTAGATCTTGTCAAATAACATCTGTATTTGCATCTTTTCCTATAAAGTTTTTGTTGGTAGCTACCTAATTTATTTTATACTAACGAATAGCTTGGCGTCGCTAAAGCTGTGTATCTTTTTAATAAGTAGGTAGGTATACGTACTTATCACATCTGTTTTTGCTTATTATATATTGTTAAAATATAGGATATTTGTCGTATCCAAAAATACGTAGATACTAAATCCTGAAGATAAGTATAACTTATGGTGGAGGAGATATGAAAATAGGTATTCCATACTAAAGGAGTTCGTAAATAAATCATTTTTTGACTTCATCAGATGGAAGGATTACCAATGAAAATTAAAAACGGCATGTTTTACACATTTAATAATTAATAGCTACTATAAATAGACTTATTTCTATAGTAAAGGATAATTGTTGAAGTTTTAATAATAAGCCATGTCTTATTTGTAAAACTTAAATATGTATTTATAATTTAAACATTTTAGTTATTTCAGCATTTATGTAATAACATATCGGACTATTATTGTAATTGTGAAGTATGTGTGTGAGTGTATGATTGTTACTTCTTCAAGATCAAACGGCTGAACGGCTTTAGATGAAATTTGGTATACAGATAGACTATTTTCTATTATGTGACTTAAATCTATAAGTACCTATAATATTTTATTCGAGAGTAGGTTTTTTTCTTAAAAAAAATCGAATGATCATCTACTTCCAACAATATTTCAGTATCAAAGCATAATATAATTATAGTAGAACAGTAAATATAAAAAACAATAAAAACGTTAAAAGCAGGTTCCACCGAGATTTGAACTCGGATCGCTGGATTCAAAGTCCAGAGTGCTAACCATTACACCATGGAACCGACATCAATTTTGTGTAAATATACAATTTATATTTATTTTGTTAAAAAATATATTCGCTACTTCGTTATAACAGACTTTACAAATAAATATTTTTTGAACAAGTATTTTTCGACGATGAAGAAATATAGGGATGTGTATGTATAGGTATCCATTGTGGGGATGTTTGTGCAAATTCTAAATTGATATATAATGTGAAAATTATAAATACGATAATTAATTATGCTTTATTGTTTAATAATTACTATCTTTCTAGTATCAATTAAATAATAACTAAATTTTCACATACATTAAATCTAAATCGTTAGAGGAGTGGCAGATAAAGAGTAGAGTGCCGAACGCTATAAAGCTTGTGACATGCAATTATATAGAGAAATGCGAGAGTTTAAATTGTATATTTAAAATTAAATATATCAATTTAAACATCAGTTATTTTTATGTTCATGCCTAAAATAGTAAAACAAGTTGTTGATTTAATTTTGGTTTTATAGTAAAAAATATTATGTAGATAAAGCGCTGGAAAACTTCATATTAACTACTTACATACATCAACAATTATATATTATTTTTTATTCGCGTTGATCCTTTTTTTCCTATGAATATTGAATATTGCAAATATATTTTGTATACTATAGTATTTTAAATAATAACACTTCACCGGTTTCAGAATAACGTTTCCAGTTGCGGAATTATTTCATAAAAATCAATTCGTAGGTTCCAAGAAAGTTCCTCCCACTTGAGTTTCCAAGGATAAATTGTTTTATATTGTTTTTTTTTAATTTATTAAAAAGACTAGCGATTTACTTACGTTTCGGGGCGACCCTAGCCTAGGTACGTTTTCAATAGATAAAAATATTTATCGTGAGTGTACTTTAAGAGATATACACATGCCATTGCGGGCTTTTCTGAAAGCCTTTTTAAGACCTACAATTTTCTTTATATTGTTTTGATATACTTACCTCTTAATCCCTCCACGACCGCGGACACGCCGGCGTTACAGTTAACAATAGATTTCTTAGAAATTTTAATTTCTTAGAAATTTACCTGGAGGTAGGTTTATCCAACCATCCATGTTAGCGTACGAAAGTAGTTTTATTGACAAAACACCGTCATAGTTCAACCTTGTTGTACAAAATATTTACAAATTATATATAAACAAACCTTCCTGTTGCTTATCATTCATTCTATTAGTGAAAACTGTATTAAAAATCCGTGTTTTAGAAGAAGTAAGCGGAGACAGAGAGAGAGAGAGAGAGAGAGAGAGAGAGAGTTACATATAGACATTTTGCATTTTAGACCATTCATTGTGTTTTCCCGTGAGAATGAAAGATTTTCCTGTAGTAAAATATATCCTAATGGCTTACAGTCTCCAACGGTTTTATTTAATAATTAATTACAAGCTAAAACTTCACAAGTAGCTTCATTTTGACGAGACGCTCAACTTTTTTTTCGACAATTTGGTAGTGGTAGGTTGTGGATGTGTGTTGTGGTACAGTTGTGGATTGGTACGGAACATTGAGAAATTATGATTGTCTAAAATTTTCTACTAACTGGTTGTTTTACGATTTAATATTTTAAGATAATCCAACATAAAATAAGAAAAAAATGTTGTCCCACAATACAGATGGTTTGGATCAAATCGTACTCTTTTCTGAACTTGTTAAAATAACGTCATAAAATTTATTAATAACCAGTTGATTTTTATTGTATTTATTATTAAAAAATAAGCATGATTGAATGATCAAAACGTCCTATAAATAAAATGGTATGGACTTAGATCCCACTGCAAGATTGCTACGTTCATTGCGTATTTAATCGAAATCATTTTTTATATACAATAATAAAAGGGGCATTATGTTTTGACCGCGGTGTCTATTCAAATGTGCCCGTTAGTATGTTTAATTAACTAAATAATACTACTTTTTGGAATAAAAACGATGCATTTGTTATTACAATGAATTATACTCCACTTCACAGAACTATACGTAGAGATCTTGAAAAATAATAGCTGCCGTTGCGCATTTGGCCGCAACCTCTTCGCAGCCAGGTATATTTTGGTATGTTTATGCGTTCATAGCGAACATGCATCATTTATATATCAAATTAAAGCTAATTTTTTTCTGTACCTGATAAACTACGTCTGCCTATGTAAAAGTGGCCGCAAAAGTAGTTGCGAGTCATTAAAAGTGTTTTTGTTACATTTATATGTTCATGGCGTATATTCATCATTTATATATCAAATTAAAGCTCATTTTTTTCTGTGCATGATAACCTCTCACCTATGTAAAAGTGGCCGCAATGGAAAGAAGAAGGAAAGAATATAATATTATTTGTTATTTGTCAGACAATAACATTCGAATACTGTCTACAATTTGTGATTAATATAAATTTTCAACGTTAGGCAATAGTGAAATATTTTATTTGGGTAAAGAGAGATTACTGTGTTTAGACATCGATTTTTATTTTTTGATATTCAAGTCAGTCAATTTAGGGTGAAAAAAATCTTCTGATCCGCTTTAAAGGTATACATGATATGTAACGTGTATGATAACTCTTTACTACCTGCAGAAATACCACAAGCAAAGGTTTACGTGTAGTATTTTGCTAAAATGAACTTAAGTACTAGCAAAAAGCACAAGCAAAAATGTTAAATAACAGATCAAGTCTACTCGCTTTTCTGAAAATATTGTGTCTAAAGAACACCGTCGGAAGTTGTAGGAGCTCGTGAACGCCTACGTTGCAACCAACTATTCTTTCTGTAATAAATTCGAGATGGGTATATTTTATTATGAAAACATATAAACTTAACTATTGTTCCTTGTATAAATATACTACGATATTTAAGCACTTAGATAAGAGTAGTCAAAAATGTAATAAAATAGTAAGTAACTAAGCCGAATCTGTACATTAAATATTTTTTGGAAAATCTTATTGAAATAGACATTATTATCGATACAGAAGCCGAATCTATAGTTTTTAGAATATTTTCTGTCTGTCTGTCTGTCTGTTACCGCATCACAGAAAAAGCACTGGAGGGATTTTGATGAAACTTGGTATGTTTATATCTGGTTATCCGGATCAACATATAGGATACTTTTTAACGGGGGAAAATGTCTCATTTCTGAGAAAAAATACAAAAACTGCAATGTAAGAATAGTTATGGTCATCTGAACGCGGGCGGAGCCGTGGGTAATGCTAGTATTAAATATACATAGGAATATTTTTTTAATATTTAGGATTTAGGAATGTGTTTCTTTTTTAATAGGATTGACAAAGATTTCTAATTTCCTTGTTTGTTACAGCCAGTATACCTAAATGTGGTGGATGCCATGAGATGATAGTGGATCGATACGTACTAAAAGTGTCCGATCGCACTTGGCACGCGGGCTGCTTGCGATGTGTTGAATGCCGCGCAATGCTCTCCGGCAAATGCTTCGCAAGAAATAATCAGTTATATTGTACTGAAGATTTTTTCAAGTAAGCCTCTTTAAATTAAACCATCTTTTACATATAACAGAATTTCATAGAGGTATGCATGTGAAATGAGATATTTTGTCCGTCTGTCTATAATAATATTGTACGTAATAAAATATATGTACGTACACATTCCAAAGAACGGACATTATTTGATAAAGGGTTTAATAATAATATTATTATTATAATTAAACCAAAGCTACATTTTCTCTTTGATATGCTTATTTTTGATAAGTAGTACACTATAACTCTATTATTTTATACTACACTTTTTAGATAAAACCAAGCTAAATATTTAACGGCTGCATTTTTGATTTATTACATCGAATAATTTATTTAAAGTAAGTAATAGACAAATTAATATAATGAACAAATAACCCATATCATTTTGATAATGTTCTTGGTTACGGTTGTTGTCCCAGGCGGTTCGGCACGAAGTGCGCTGGCTGTGGGCAGGGAATCCCCCCGACACAGGTGGTGCGACGTGCGCAGGCGCATGTCTACCATCTGCGGTGTTTCGCGTGTGCGGCGTGTGCGCGGACTCTGAATACCGGAGATGAGTTCTATCTAATGGAGGACGGCAAGCTTGTTTGTAAGCCTGACTACGAAGCTGCGAGAGCAAAAGGTAAGTTTCTTGATAGAAACATGTTTAGGAATGATTATAACCATAGATAGTAAACAGATATTACAACAGATAATTAACGAGACTCTTAAAACCATTATTAGAATTTTTAATATTTATTTTGTTGATATCATTTTGCATTAATGTTCCTGAAAAAACTTATAATATAATGAGACTGGATAAAAGGAAACTTTGTAAGCCAAAATATTAATCCTTGATTTAAGTAAACTACAGTTAAAGTTACTCTAAAGATGTTTTAGCTAAAACTCAAAAAATTATTCATTGGTGATTTAAAATTTTATGGTCACTAATAGATACATATATCGTGTATATTAGGTGAAGGTTCCCTCGACGGTGATGCAGCAAGTAAGCGGCCGCGGACAACCATCACTGCCAAGCAGTTAGAGACGCTCAAAAGTGCCTATAGTAGTAGTCCTAAACCAGCAAGACATGTAAGAGAACAGCTTGCTCAAGACACTGGACTAGATATGCGTGTAGTTCAAGTTTGGTTTCAAAATAGGTGAGTTTTAAGGTATAAATGTACCTACTATCTATCAATTTTATATAATGTTTACGATAATATTATTATATTATAAGATAATTATAAAAAACTTTATATGAAAGCTCTATTTTAACTTTAAAACAGAAAGAGTTACGTAAGTGATGAGTCACTGTAGTCAGTCCGTGAGGAAGTTGACACCGGCTCGAGAGGTAGTTCTACTGAAAACAGCCGGCGAGAAACTCGACAATTTACTCGTTTTTAAATATCGAGTAACAGTTTTTTTATACAAAATTGTAACTATCTCGTTTATGAGGCAATTCATCTAAACAAAGTAATATTACTCTGTAATATATTTTTAAATTCTTGAAAAGGTGAATCTAATACAATTTGTTTTATTAATCTATAAGTATTTTCTATAATTAGGACGCGTTTGTTTTAAAATCATTTACTACTAACATGAAAATAGAGAAGTTACTTAAACAGGACCGCAAAATACAATATTTTACAATAAACTGTAAAAAGTTTAAAAGTTTTCAAACCAATATACCGAACAAAAAGTATTTCACGACGTATTTGGAGTTCCGTAGCAAATAAACTTAAGCGGAACCCTTATAATTTCCCCATGTCCGTCTGTCGGTCTGTCCGTATATCATAGCCATTTTACTCGAAGACTAGAAGGAAGGTCTCTCGTGTAAAAACCAATTCTGTAGTCAAAGTATAAAAATAAAGAAGTTAAGGGTGGCAGTTGGCACTCCATTTAAATGTAACTGAACATGTTAGAAGGTGATTTTTTTAAGTCTACATAAGTGCGTCTCACTGGATAGGTCTTTTAAATCCAGATTTGAGAAGTGTCAATTTTATTTTATATATTTAAAATTACTCTTATAGTTGCAAATAATAAGGCAAGGAACTTGGGTCTAATAAGCGTTCATGCGATAAAAATACTCACAAGCATATAAATTTGAAATCGATTTGGGATATAAATAATCAATTTTGCGTAAACGTTTAAACCAAAAGAGCAAGTTATCACTAAGAATTTTGAAATGGTCAACAAGTTAACGAGACGTAAATAATCTTTGGTTTCGTAATTTTTTATGGATTTTCTATACTTTATTATAATATTTATGGAATATATTTATGGTTTTCTATACTTTAAAATGAGTAATAAATAAATGTAATAAATTGGAAATAATAAAACGAATAAGTATACGTTAATATTCGTTTTATTAGTTTCAGTTAGTGAATTAAGTAAATTAAATGGAAACTGTTTCTTGATTAAAAATGCTCACTGAGCTTGTTCCTCATACAAAAATTAATATATTTTACTACACATCAAAGCCTTAAACAAGAGGATAAGCACCCAGAATTTATGTAATATTTTTTATTTATTTTTTCTCTCAGAGGCCTTTCTTTTGAATTTTTTGTAAAGTTCTTAGAGGTAGTTTTGGGTTTTAAATTTTTAAAAAAATAAGTAATTTCTAACAACCAATAGCTGCTACTAAGACTAGTATTAAATAGACTACATATTGGTGCCCATTAACATATTGCAGCATATGAGATAAATTCGATATAGACTAAAATCTAAATAACCTTTCAATCGTGATATGCACATATTCTTAATTTTATTATTTTGTTATCCATGACCTTGCTAATAAAAGAATGACCTTTGCTGAATGTGTTGCATGTTATAATTCCTATACATTACTCAATCGGTATTGTTATTATTTTATGACATAATCTCGTAAATTTAATATTTCATGCTTGGTTTTTATTTAAATACTAAGTTCTATTTGTCAAATTTAACATATAAAAAACTAGACAAGTGTATTAATACCTCATAATTCAGAGAAAACTTTGTACCTCTCCTTTTTAAGCATATAGCGCGCACGGCGGATTGTGCACTTTGGGCCTGGCATAGTTAAAGTGGACATGTAACGGTAGAGCAGACCAAACACCAAAAAAATATTGACGTCTTTGCCCACGGCTTTGCTCGCATCTTTATTATGTATAATTACTTCCCGTTTAAGATTTGTACCATGATATTAAATAATAAACTATATTAACAGTTTTATATTATTATAGCGATTCACCCTCGCTCCGCGCGGGTTCGTCCCTAGTTATGTTTTAACGTTTAGTATAGATTTCTAAGAGATGAGATATTTTCCCGCAGTAAAAAGTATCTTATATGTTAACCCTGAAAATCTGTACTGTGGTTTTCTCGTGATGACAGACAGACAGACAAAATTTCTAAAAACGATAGATTCGGCCTTTGTTTCGACAATAAAGTATATTTCAACAAATTTTTCAAAAATATTTAATGTACAGATTCGGCTTACTTCCAATTTTTTATATGTACCTATAGATAAAATTTAATTATCTAATCTTTATTTGTTTGCTTGTTGGACGCTAATCTATGGAACTAAAAGAAAAATATTTATGCATAATATATCCTGCCCTTTGACAATTGAACGTCAATAACGTTTAAACTTACAATTAATGATTTATGGTCTATCTTCGACCACGTCGCGATCACTAGTAAGAAATTAATATCTTATAAAATAGTTATATTATAGTTACATTAATATTTTATAAAATAGTTATATAGATTAGTAAATTTTTTGTAGTTTCTATTATAAGCTATCATGGCACGTTTGGTTTCGCGCAAACGGCTGGCGTCACGGCAGCCGTCACGCCCTGCGCTTTGGCCTCGCCTCGTAAAACTGCGCCCGTTATCACAATGCGAGACTTTACTTTGATCAGACATACCTATTGTACATACGAGTATAAACACGATGTACACAAAAGTGTATTGATTACTATGGCTCTGAGTGATTACAATGTTCTAGGCCATCTAGTAAATTAAATACTTTATATGTTTAATGGACTAATAATTCCATGCATTTCCTAAGTACGCTTGTTTATTTACCTATATATTTTAAATAAAAAAAAAACTAAATAAACATTTAATTTCATTTATAAACAAATATACACGTAATATAAATTGGTATTTAAATATTTTCAAATTTAAGCAATATTATGAACTGTATGGGTAGCTTAATAATAGATTGTATGTACTCGTATGTATATTCCAAAGACTTTTGTGTCTTGAACCACAACGTTTTTCCATAACGTATAATAAATAAAATTTCACAACACTAACACGACAAGGTAATTTCGACTGTTATTCCAATAATCCATCGGCTATATCGCAGCACGAGGTCCCAGCGGACTGGGCGGAGGCACATTAATTAAACACGTAGACTCCCCGCCGCTCTGCTAATAACACACGCTAAATATACGCAATAGGGAGCTTCGATTACCGTATTCAGGACATTTAGTTTGAACAATTGATTGTTATTATGTATATTTTGTTTTGTATGCTCTTTGACTTCTAAGATCTCTTAGGCACCTTGCTTTATAACTCGACCTATTTCCGAATACATAATATGTAATATGTACATAATCTATGCTGTAGTATAAATGATTTGTCAATAAGATTTCAACTGTGAATAAACATCTATGAACTCCATAGTTAGGATAATTAGTTTACGGATATAAATATATCTTAAATTTATTTTTGTTTCAGGAGAGCAAAAGAGAAGAGGTTAAAAAAGGACGCGGGGCGGACGCGCTGGTCCCAATACTTTAGGTCCATGAAAGGTGGAGGCAGCGGCTCGCCGAGACACGATAGACTCCTCGACAAGGATGAATTAAAGATTGATTTAGATTCCTTCAGTCATCACGGTAATATGGCGATATTTGGACTTGTAGCACAATAATGTTATTTGGGTTACGTCCAATAAACAACGTAATGCTTATAGGATCATGGATCACTCACTTATCAGGCTTTTTGTCTATAAAATTTTTTGATCTAAATTTTTCTTCATAATGTAAAAAGTTACGAAAGCGTCCCTGAGTGTCTTTTTGCCTTATATTTTATATTTATATTGTTTTTTTTTCAAACCGTTAAGATAGCGCACGCTGATAAGCCAATTGAAGTCAGTTTTTTTCCGACATAATTAAAGTTATTATGATATTTGAACGAAAATACATTTTTATCGAAATAAAAATAGCCTGTAGCCTATTAGTAAAACAATTTTCAGAATCGGATTAGTAGTTTCAGAGATTACTCTCTACATACATACTTACAAACTTTACCTCTTTATAATATTAGTATAGATATGTAAATAGTTATTAATGAGTGTCCATTTATTTGTAGAGCTAAGCAACGACAGCTATAGTACGGCGGCACTCGGTGGAGAGGAAGGCTCTCCCGCGGGCGGCGCGTCGGGGGCGAGATTCGGTGCCACACCGCCTTACTTGCGCGCGCACTCGCCCCCCCACGCACACTACCACTACCCGCCTGATCACCTTGTCTATACTAATATTGGTAAGTTTTTATATGTATAATATCGTATTGTGTCAGATTTTTAGTTTTTTTTTATAGAACAGCATTAATTACCTAAGTAAATTATTAAAGATTAGCGACTCACCCTCGCTTCGTTCGGGTTTATCCCTATCAATTGTCCCTATACAAACTTGCATCCCCACTTTCACACCCTTAACGGATGATTCTCGGAATAAAAATCTTATGTCCTTTACAGGGTCTCAAACTATCTTCTTACCAAATTTCATCTAAATCGGTCCTGTAGTTTTTGAGTTTATTCGTCACAAAAATACAAATCTTTCCTCTTTATATTATTAGTGTAGATATATTTAAAAAACCGATAACGAATTCACCGGTTTCATCAAGATTAAATGCCTAAAGTTTCCGATTATATTATTATCTATATTCATATGAAACAAGGATATCCTATGAATGTTTTAGTATTCTTGCATACATTATATGTGTTTTAATAAAATAAATTAACTACCTACCTTTATTCAATCATTTGTGTTTGTGTTTTTTTGTGATAAAAAATTATGTGTATTTGAAATATATTCTTTTCATGAAAATTCATCATTTGCTTTTAACCTAATTTACTTTGAGAGTCAATTTGCGAAAATCTTAAGTAGGTACTTTGTAGTTGGTTTAAGTGCCACTTGCAATTTTAACGTTCATTATCATTATCAATGTTTGAGCTTTTTCTACATTTTAAGTATATTTGATTACAGGTCAAGCAATGAGTGGTGCGGGTATAGGAGCTGGGGCGGGAGGTGCATCAGACATGAGCAGTTCCTCATCCCCGGCTGCCGGGGGATACCCTGACTTCCCTCCTTCCCCGGACTCTTGGCTGGGAGAGCCTCACCATTACTCTCCACGTGGCTACCCCTAGCGGCGGCCGCCCCCGGCGCACGCGCACCCCGCACCCCCCGCGCCTCCGCCGCACGCGCCCTGTCCCCCACAAGCTCTCGGTGTACAACCCCTTGAGCTTGTTGTCAAACGTGAACTGTGATTGATGTCACGACTATAGTGATTAAAATAAACAATGAATCTTTTAAAGTTCTCAAAGTGACAGTGCATTATATATTAAGGTAAACCGTTGATTTTAAAATATCTGAATCTAATAAGGAGGCTTCTTTTGTAAATATATTTTGTAGATTTAAGATTTGTGATTGTACATCAACACACCTCGTAATATCAGTGTATATAAAGTTTTAAGTACAACATATTTTGATCTTAAGTAATAAGTGTTTCGCAGACTTTACTAAGACTATATTTTATTGACAAATTGTAATTATTGCTCTCGTCTCAAATTAGTCTGTACTTGATAGAGTTATTTATTATTTACCTACGATATAAAGTGATATGTTTGTGTAATCAATATTATTGTACATTCAGCTATTGTAATTATTACTTTAGAATAAATCATTAATTATATAAGGCCATAGTGATATCATACTTCGTGCAAAAAATCTAGTCGAAATATAAATGGTATATTAATAATAATAACACATAATACGGTAATTAAACTGAAGTTTTATTTACAAGTTATGAATTAAATATTTTTTACATGTACGTTACAATTCCGTAGTAGCCACTCCCCAGTACTGTTGCATGCGGCCTTCTAGATCTAACGAGTCTTGTGACTGAGCTGTTTTTTCTTGAATAACGGCAAAATCGTATTCTAAGTGGTAAGGCATGAGCCGTTGCAGGGAGCCGAAATATGCAGCGTTTGGACCTCCGTTAGGTACTCGTCCCGACCCAAAGCGAAATTCGGGTTTAAGGTTATTGCCAAAAGCTCTTGCACTTCCGAAATGTTTTGAAAGAAATGGAACTTTAGATTGTTTTCCAGTTAAATGTAGCTGAGGACTACTCCCGGATAATCCTTTTAAATTCCTTAAGCTACTTCCATTCGACTTTATACCTTTCGACAGGTTATCTAGCTCTTTATCGAATATCATTTGCGTATTTTGTTCTAACATATATTCCCAGCATTTGAATTGTTCATCAGAGGAAGGAACATCATCGTTCTTCCTTTCCTCTTCTTTATCTTCTTCAACGCGTACTCGAATAGCTCTTGCTACTCCACCTCGAGGTCTTCTCTCCGAAGCTTTTACATGAGACCTTACACTTGCATAATGTTGGTTCACAGTTTCGCTAAGTGGTCGATCGCTTTGCCCACTCGGAGATGATCTATCACTTGTAGATTTTGGTGGGGTTATTGAATGGCAGCAAGGTTCTAATCGAGAGCAACAACAATCAGACTTGCAAACTGACTTATTCGTATTTATCGTATTTCGTAATTCTCGCATTAGCAAGTCGACGTCAGAGCGTACAGTATCAAATCGCACTATCACAACCGATATACAGTCTTCTGTTCCATAGCTTTGTGCTAAGTCTTGTAGTCTTTTTGCTGCTAGTACTGGATTTCTTTCAGCTCTTACTTCAGCTATGGCGGTATCTATTGTAACAGATCTCCAGAACTTTCCGTTTCCTAATATGAGAAATTCATCGTCTTCTTTTATGACTGTGTGAATGACATCAGGATCAGGTACTGTGTTAGGATATCTAGACGAGTAACCTATACGTTTATTGTTCTCTGCACCAAGGCATAAGGGCCCACTGCGTCTACTCAAAACAGCTTTAGTATCACCAACGTTTGCTAATCGTAGGTTATATTTCTTAGGGGTTTGTCCGAAACCATTCTCAGGTGTGTTAACTGGTGATAAGTGGCACATTATGAGGCAAGCGCCTCTTCTTTGACCTTTCTCTTTTAACTCTCTATGAGCTGAGAGAACAACATATTTCATATATTCATTTACAGTCTCTTTAATTGATTTCTCTTCAAGTAAAAGTCCTGGTAAGCTAGACTGTAGAATTTTAGGTACTTCGGTATCAGACTCGCCGTCGATTATCGCAAACAAGCCTTCCTTGTTGCAAAATGACGGCAAACGAATTTGTGCACATGATAATTGTAATAATTTATTTGGACATTCTGAAAACCCTGTGACCCAGGGAGTAAGTCCGTTTAATTCTTCATGAAAATTGGTTTTTTGAGTCCATGATACCGCGTTTTGTCCTGTGACATCGACTAGACTTAATGGTCGTTGACATTTATAAGCATTAAATTGTGATGGATCCATTTGAAGTTTCTTATTACAAGATATATCTAAAAATTTCAATTGTTTTGGGGCTAAAAGCCTAAGATCTATACTATCTAGTTCATTATGGGCAAAATCTAAAATTTTCACTGAAGCGCTACACGCAAACATTGGAACAGAACGTAGTCTGTTTGAATGTGCTCGAACAATTCTAATATTATTTAACTGCGGCAAATTATCAGGTAACTTTATGAGAGAGTTTCCAGATATAACTAACTCTTCGACTTCTGGCCAGAAAGTAAAACAACTCTCCGGTAGACTTGTTAGGCAGTTATAGGCAATGTGCAGTACTTTCAGGCCTCGAAAAGTTATAATTACGTCTATAACTTCATCAGTTAGGCAGTTGGCTGTTAAGTATAGGCGTTCTAGGCAATGTGGTGAAGCACCTCTCACACGCGGTAGACGACTTAATCTATTGTTAGACAGATTTAAAACACACAATCTATCACATATCGAAAAAAAGTTCTCAGGAAGTGCTTGTATACAATTGTCGTGTAACAAAAGTTCTTTTAAAGGCGATCTTAACCTAGGCATTGACGGGAAATTCGTTATTTTATTATGAGCTAAATGAAGGTGACTTAGGCTTGACAATTCGCTACAGAATAAATGTTCTGGGAGTGAAGTCAGTTTGTTATTACTCGCGTAGAGCTTAGTGAGGTCTGAGCAACCACTGAGCCATTGAGGTAACGAGGATAGCTTGTTGTGTGACACGTCAATCTCTACTAAGTTTATCGGTGGCACCATCGTAGTTAAGCTGTCCATTTCTGTAAAAGACATTTTTCTACTTTAAAAAATTATTTTAATAAAAATAGTATAGAAAATTATGATTTTAAATGCAAATGTCACCATGATTTCTGATATCACGTACATACATAATGAGGAATTTACGTATCATTATTTCCGACCTAAAAATCGTGTCAATATAAATATGTTACGTATGTGGCCTTGTTATCTTTAATATCGCCCTCTAAAATTACCAATTTGAGTTAGACTTTTCCCTAGCCAAAATTAATAAAACCAATATTAAAAGGTAACTTTTTGTCAGTATAAAAATTCAGTTTTTATATTAGTTTGTGTTTAGCTTTGTATAGTAAGTAGGTAATCTTACGGTTATAAGGCGCGTGTAGTACTCGAAGCGAAGCACCGTGTAGTGCGAGATGCTGTATGGAGTTATGCGCGGCGTACAGCTCGCGCAGGCCACGTAGAGCCGACACTACTAGCACCTCCACCGCGTTGTGCGACACGTCCAGCGATACTAGGTGCTGTGAAGTATTGTATTAAACAATGTTAGTATCAAATATCGCTATTTCCTAATTCATGATATAGATTAAATATGTAGTTTGAGGACTTTTCTAAAAAATGACAAAAAAAGGATGATTATAACATGAAATACAACGTTGTTCTGTCTGTCTGTTTGTGCGTTTATGTTTGGTGCTATAAAGCCAGAAATATACCTTAAGCTTCCTATCCTACCCGGTTTATATTTATTTCATGTAGGATTTATGATCGTTGATTTTGAATTTATGTATAGGGATCAAATGTGGACAATTGCTAGTTGATTAATTAAGTAATATATAGTAAAGTTATAGTAAAATGAATAAAGTAATAAGTGGCTCCACTTAAAAGTTCCAAAAAGGATATACATATCGATACCTTAATTATAAACCAGCTAACTCCTTATGAGCAAATTTTTCAGGAGACACTTAAAACTTATAATATTTTTTACACTACTCATTAAAATATCTAAAATACCATTGGTAGATAATATTGTAAACTGTTTTTTTTGATACTGTAAGATCCTACAAAAATAATCCTATTGAATTACTGTTGCATACAATCTGAACCAAAGAAATATCTTTTGACGAAATGTGGAGTTGGCTGGTATCGATATATGTACATATAATATATATATATATATATATATATACATATATATATATATATACATATATATAAAGTATGTTTTCGTTTCTAATATTTAATAAATGCATAAAAATAATATTAATATAGTAAATTAATATAAATAATTTTAATATATTTTTTTTCGTTGAGCTTAAATTATTTTTTTTTATTAAAAGCCTGTTTTGTATAGATTATTCTTCAGTCTTTATCTATACCTTTTTAAATTAATTATTTTGTGATAAAATGGTTTAAGAGGATATTTGTATGTCCATACATAAATAAACGGTAATCTATATAAAACAAAGTCGGGTTTGTTACAACACTTATAACTCGAGAATAGCTTAACCGATTTTTATGATCTTTTCTTTGTTGGATATGTCTTCACGAAAAAGAAATTGAAAAAAAAGTCTTATCCATATTAAGCGTCAAAACGTACCTGAGGACGAACCTGAGGTAAGCGAGGGCGAGTCGCTAGTATTATATAAAACTTACTTCATAATTGCCAAGTATAATGCTGCCTTTCAATCTGTTGTAACGGAGGTCGACATTAGTCAGCGGCGCTCGGTACTCTCCCCGATTTTCTTCCCCTGGACCCATTTGCGTCGAGTTATTCGACTGAAATGAATAATATAATAAATAAATAAATATTTTCATAAATGTAAAAGATTATTTATAATTTTTTTATAATAAAGCCTAACCAACCAGTATAATATAAAAAATATAATAGGTAATATGTATAGTGTGTACTCTATAGGATTGTCAACTGGCGTAGTAATTTATATTATTGACTGGTATTTGTCAGGACTATAGATACTTCTAGGAATTCTTGCTAGTAATGATTTTTGGCTTGAAATTTATTTGGATACTTTTGAGGACAACTAATCAAAATGCTTTTAATGAATTTTTGTATGTGTTTACTAAACGTCCTTTTAAATTATCCTAGGAATGAAGTGGATCTAATAGGTATAAACGTTTATTAGTAGTTTTCGTCTTGGTCCACTATATTCAAAATCATAGGTTCACTAGTTCCAGAATCAATGCATCCTACATGTAAACAAATAAATTACCTCTTTCTAATAGTGTACAATTACCCTTAGGTACTAAACCTATACGTCTTTATTAATTTAATGGCTTTACATTATCAATATGAACTACAGTTAGTGGGTTCAATTGTCTGGCATCCTATTTAATATATGCTAGTAATATTATATACCTACCTACATAGTAACACATTATTATTCAACTAGCATTGCCCGCGGCTCCGCCCGCGTTCAGATGACCAAAAAGCAAATTCTTAGGTTTTATATATTAGTACCCTTACAATGCAGTTTCTGTATTTTTCTCAGAAATAAGATATTTTCCAGCGGTAAAAAGTATCCTATAGATTGACCCGGATAACCAGCTATCACCATACCAAATATCATTAAAATCCCTCCAGTAGTTTTTCTGTGATGCGGTAACAGACAGACAGACGAAAATTCTAAAAACTATAGATTCGGCCACTGTATCGATAATAATGTTTATTTCACTAGATTTTTCAAAAAATATTTAATGTACAGATTCGGTTTTGTTACAATTTTATTATATCTATAGATTTTTAAGTAAGAGCATCTATTGTGTTCTTTCGCTTACGTCAAAATGGGTAATATTATTTCTTTATATCAAATACTTATTAATAAAAAATATAAAAATTAAACTTAAGAAATGATTTGTGTTATCAATTGTTCATATTACTTACTCCAAAATTCCTAATTGAATTTCTAGCTGCTATAACCGCGCGAAGTCGCGGCAGCCGTAGTATGCAATCTATAGATTGTATTTCGTTGTCGCTTACATTAATTTCTTCTAACCTGAAAAAAGTAAGTACATAGATGTCAGCCATATTAGCGAATATGAGAAATGAGAATGCATCCATTTATTTGCAATAACCATCGCTCTGATATAATGTTGTTTCTTGCAGGGTTGATTTTTATTTAAGTATTTAAATTTATGTGTTTAATGGACAAATTCTGTGTTCGAGTTGCAGTGAAGGCGGAAAGCAGTCTGGATCTCACTGTCCGATCTATAATCGGACCGCTTAAAGTATATAATAAGTATAATATTAAATCATTTGACATTACTAAAACAAACAATCCCGGGGTTCGAAGATTTCCGGTAGGCACAACGAAGATTTAATATAAGTACTGCTCGTATATGTATCCAGTGTATCATATTTACACGCAACAATGAACAACATACAAAATAAATTATTATCAGCAATTTTGAATAAATTTAAATTAATATGTGTTTTGTACAGTTTCTCTTTATACCGAAAACGGTCGTATAATTAAATATTGTTATTGTTAATTCTTTTATAGTACGCAATATAACTTATATTCATCTTCACTCTAGTCATTACGAGAACAATGGGAACCTTTTGGGATATAAAATTGATAAGCACAACGTTATTTAAGAGATTGGGTTAAATAGTTATTATATATATATATATATATATATATATATATATATATATATATATATATATATAGTGTTAAGGTATATATTATGCTATGGGCCTCCGTTTATATATTTAAGATCCTCATGTAAATATTGCCTGAAATAAATGATTAAATAAAGAAAATTATAACTATAAAAAATACCATTTTGTAATTTCGACACGAATACTAAATAAGTTATTTTTATATTTTTGTCTTTTAAACATAAGTGTGGTAAAATATAAGTCACAAGAAAAATATGTAACGTAAATACATTAACACGCTTTATGGACGACGTGACATCGACCAGCTGATCCGTTTAGCTATTTTGTTACCTGTAGTGCTATACTGTAAGAACTTTTATGTATATCGAAGCTACATCTACAAAACTACTTGTAATATATTGTTAGACATTTATCAAGTATGCTCACAGATTCCACTGTTGAGCTGCATAAATATTCTGGCATTAAAGTATTTTACTTCAACATATTTTAATTTCGTATTTTTTTTTATTTCATATTATTAGAATTAAGTAAATGAATCAAATAAATGATAAATAATGTTAAATTACTGTAAGCACTCAATAAAATCAAATAAATTGCTAAAATAAATTAAATAAAAAGTTTTTATTTAATTTTTTTATTGAGTGCTTATAGTAATCGCTTCTAGAATGTGGAGATGAATAATAATGATGAAATAAATGATAAATAAGTAATTATTAAAAATTAAAAGTAAGTAAATTAAAAACCAGACTCTCAAAACCTATTCGACTTTTGAAAGCAATCCAAATACGCCTAAAGACAAAGTATTTATTCGTAGTAGTGGAAGAGTTTCTTCTAGATTTATTTTACTGTCATCGGAAATACAAACATTTACAAGTTTCAAGTCAATATGACAATTACAAGTAGGCAAAAAATGACTTAATGTCTATATACTTGAAAGTTCATCGATTTTCTTGAAAACGATATAATCTATGCCAAAGTAAATTGTATGCGATCACCTCGGTATCTATCTTAATAGAATTCAATTCAAACTAGAAAGTTCGATCAAACCGTTTCCGAGAAATCGGTGAACTTACATATAAAATACCTACATGAGACACGAACATATAACCTCCTTTTTTGAAGTTGGTTATAAAATAGAATGCATTTGTATTGTTAGGTTATGTAAGCTGTGATTAAATACATCAATTAAAAAAGTAATTCAGTGTAAAAAATTTAATTAATATGTAAGCTTTCTTTCTATGTAGAGACGTATTCATACTTGCCAGTAGAGCTACTTTTTATAATCTATACATATAATAAAATTCTAACTGAGTCGAATCTGTATATGAAATATTTTTTGATAAATCTTATTGAAACAGTCGTTATTACCGATATAGAGGTCGCATCTATAGTTTTTAGAATTTTTGTCTGTCTGTCTAGGAACGCTTTACTACAGGACAGATTTTGATAAAATTTGGTTTAATGGTAGCTGGTTATCCGGGTCAACAAATACAATACTTTTTACTGCAGGAAAATATCTCATCTCTGAAAAATCCATACTAACATCAACACGTAACCAGGGACTAATCCGAGCGGAGCAAGGGTGGGTCGCTGGTACAAAAATAAATACCTTTTATATAATTTCTATTTTTATTCATAAGGCTTTGAAGAATAGTATTAACATTTCAAAATATATTAATAACTAGCGGCTCACCCTCGCTTCGCTCGGGTTCGCTTCTGGACAAACAAAGACAAATCTATCCCACGGGAACAGTAGATTTTTCTGAGAGAACAAGTTGCCTATTTGTTATTCTGATGTATGAACTATCTTCCAATCAGTAGTTTTTGTGTACGAATCTGTATAAGTTACTATAGTGTTTTAACTATCACACAGGAAATCTTTTACGGGATGAAAATTATCTAAAATGTTGACCGGGGATATAAGGTACCACCATGCAAAATTTCATTTAAATCTATCCAACAGTTTCGGAGGTTAGCCCGTACAAACAGACAAAGAGACAGAGAAACAAAAAAAGAAAAAATATGTGTTAATATATTTCAGTCAATGCACAAACTCACAGACAAACAGATAAACAGACAAACGGACAAAAATTCTAACAATCATTGTTTTGGGTGCTATTTGCGTTGATAAAGGTCCCAATAATATATTTTTTTCATATATCTTCCTTCCATGTATAGACAGCGATCCGTTACATTTTTATTATATGAATAGATAGATTACTTATATCCATTTTTATTGTGATAGGATCTTCTTTTAGGTAATATTTAGTTATTAGTTATATGGTACAATAAAAAAAACAGTTTTTTTAATCTTCTTTGTATAAGTACTTATGAAAAAGAAGCTACTCAATGTTTATATAAAATCTTTCTATTAATAAATTTACAGATTTATTTAAATTTGTGACCTATAAGCTCAAATACCGTGACTGGTGAAATATATTTTTTTACTTACCAAAGTGCCCTCACTTTAAAACAACAGTTTGTGATTTCAACTAAGAAATAAGTAACAAATCAAATTTATATGACTATAAATCAAACTTAAAATATGAAAAACTAGTTGTTGCATGAAAAACACGGTGATATGATCGGCTACTTAATTAATATTGCGTATTGTTTAAATAACTTTTTGACAGTTAATTATTTTTAAAGTTATTACAATTTACAATATCTAACCTAATTGACCGTGTCATAATTACAAAGAAGTATAACTTCAAAAATCATTGCGGCATCAAAAAATAAATGAGAATAGAGTACACACTTAAAAAAAAAGATTCCGACGAGTTGAGAACCTCCTTTTTGGAGGTCGGTGAAAAAATAGAGAAAAGGTACTAAAATATGACTTACCAAATAAAAAGAAACTTAAATTATTAATTCAAAACATCCATATCTGCTAGTCATGTCACTGTCATTCACAATTAAATCATTTTAGTTTTCCACGAAACCAAAGTAGATTGCCAAAAGTCCAAGCATGTACGGCTATCACTAAGAATGTGTAGGTACTAACTGACCGCAGCATATTCGCGCCCCACTGCATGCTTTGTGTGGCCTCACGGACATAAGACTTTGCTTTTTAAAATACTTTGTATTTCTAGCGATTAGAACGTTTACTAAAGATATTTTTTTTGTTTAATTATACACTTGTAACTTAACTCATTTTACTGATTAAAACTTATATTTCAAAATTATTTCTATAATGCCGAACCCTACTTGATTTAATAGATACTTGTTAAATTTTAATTTTAATAATTTTAGGAATATGGAAAAGTGTTTTATATGGAAAAGACCAAAAACCAAATTCTTAGGTTTTACATATTAGTATACTCTTACATTGCAGTTTTTGTATTTTTTCTCTGAAATGAGATATTTTCACGCGGTAAAAAGTATCCTATATGTTGACCCGGATAACCAGCTATCATTGTAACAAATTTCATCAAAATCTATTCAGTGGTTTTCTCGTGATGCGGTAACAGACAGACAGACAAAAATTGTAAAAACTATAGAGTCGGACTCTGTATCGATAATAATGTCTATTTCAATTAGATTTCCCAAAAAATATTTAATGTATAGATTCGACTTAGTTACAATTTTATTGTATAGATTAGTCTTGCGTATAACTGAGCATATACGCTTCATCATACATTTTCTAATGAAAATATTTTCAAGTAAATAGTGTCTTTACCGACTGTCTTGTCTTTAGTCCACATTACCTATAAATGTTTGGCAATACCGCCTAGACGCAATGGATCCACCGACGCTATGTTACAATATACATGCATTATTGTGTTCCTTATCTAAGTAAAAAAATCTAAGCAATCGTTCAACTTAACTCTCGATTTCCTATTTCGACACAACTTCTTCCTTAAGTTTTATATAATTTCTAGCAAAACCCGTGGCTTCGCTAGCGCGAGCGAAACTACAAAAAAATATCTAAAAAGGTAGTTTCATACAAACTTTCATTCCCTATTTTACCCCCTTATAGCATGAATTTCAAAAAATGCTAAAACACGTGTTTATTTAATTTTATTGAAGAGCATTAATACCAAGTTTAAAGTAATTCTGATCATAAATATTTTTTTGGATTGTATTATAACGTATTTTCCTGCGGGAATTAAATAATCTGCCGCAGTAAAAAATAGCCTATATCACTCTTCAGCTCTCCAACTATCTCTACGCAAAAAATCACGTCCATCCGTCGTCACTCCGTTTCGATGTGAAAAAAGGGCAAAAAAACAAACACACTTTCACATTTATAATAATTAAAGTATGATTATTATATATATGCATTACCTATTTGTTTTCCTTCAATGCCGGTCAGGCTAACAAGTAGGTTACTGGAAGCATATAGAGTTATAAGCATATAAACTTAAAACG